GTTGATCTTGGCAAGTGTATTAAACAATTACAGCAGTTATATCATTAGGCATGTTGAACCAAAATGAACTTTTCCTATCAGTTTTGAGAGCTGTGCCTTCTATATCACAAAATAGACGTATTGCAGTTTCGCTGGCAGCAGATATACATATATACTTTTACTAAATAAAAATGTAATATATTACTAATTGCTTTGAAGATACATTGGTATTTATCTGTGGAGGTATCTCTACTCACCGCTCTGGTCATCCAGTAGGTAGTACTGCTTCAGCAGCTGCCAGTGTACCAGCAGGCTCTTGGGGGTGCGAGATTGGTGAAAAACAGCGGGTTGTTTGCTCAGAAGCTCCTGGAACACGTCCAGCTTGGGCTGACTGGTCTGTTCAGTGACAAATGTAAAGCAAAACCGCTCGTGAATACAGCAGTCAGATATTTACCAAAGTATACAATATTACATTTTGGCCAATACTTTCCCACCAATTTTGGCCAACGGCTGATAGGGATATAAGTCTTTCTTATAGTGTACTTAACATATTATGATGCCTACTAAAACTTCAACTTAGATATAGGTAAAAATTGCCACACTTATTTTTACGCTATGTATCGGCCCTTCATATTGGAAGACATTTTTCTAATGACATTTCTGGACTATATTTAATATTAAAGCATTTATTTGTTGATACTAATGAAGTGCCAATGTCACCATGCATCGTTATAGAACATTTAAAAAGTATGCTATATGTGCAATGTTTATTAAACAACAATTGCTAAGTGTATCACTTTCACTTACCGAGCCAACCTTAGCCAGCAGGGCCTCCTCAGCCTGACTGAAGAGAGCTTTGCTCTGGATTGCCGCAATGGCTTCTGGGTGAAGCTGACGCATGGCCTGCCATGCTAGCCTAAACAGAAAGACAACAGAGAGAATTAAATTGCTTTTTAATTGAGTCGCTAACATAGAATATGGAGGGAAAGGTAAAGCAGCTACTTACTTTGAGATAACAGGGTCGTATAGGAGTGAGTACCACCTCTCTTTAATTTCCCGCAACGTGAAACGACAGCTGAACTTCACCCCCAAATGAACAGAGGTCAGGTCTGTGGTCTAGAGATAGATACAGACTCATTAGATCATAAACTGACAAACGGATTCATACAAACTTGTCACAATTATTATTTATATATTCATTATCCATCTTATTGGACAATGATGTTAACGTAGTAATACTACTCACCTGCAACACTGCATTTATAAGTAGCAGGTCATCAGTGGGTTTCCATCTTCCCAAGTCTTTAGTAATATGTAGAGGCTGCTTGCTTTTCTTTACTCTTTTGGTGATGGGGGCAGGGTTGACTACCATGGTGAGAGGCAGTGAGAGAGAGGTTCCTGATTTTGTCACCTAACATAAGGACAAACAGATATTCATCAAACCTCTGTAGGCTTATCATCTTTGCCACTAGATTGTTCAAAAGTGTGTTGGGTTTCTAAAGTCTTATGTACCTTCTTTTTCTCGCTGGATGAAGGTTCACTCCCTGAAAAGCGGATAGGCTCTATGACAGGAGGGCCTTTGACTCTGCTGGAAGACTTCACCAGACTGCTCTCCACCAGTTCATCGTCAAACTTCTTCCTCTTTATTGACCTAAAACATCATTGTATAAATACAATTATAATGCAACCGTTCAAACAATTGCATATGCACCACTGGAATATACAGTAAAGATGTACTAACAGTAAACAACACAGCTATGCCTTAATGCCAACAAATACATACATGATGGAATAATGCAATATAAAAGTATACCTTGAGGAACTTCTGCGTTTGGGAACACCGCTGCCAAATGCTTGTGTTGCAGTCCTTTTCCCATCTTTGACTCCAAGTGACTCTTCGTCCTCCGACCGACTCTGAGCACCAGCTACACCAACTACAGGGTCGCCGGCCTGCATCTGTTCAGCCACAACATGAAACACATCAGCAAATAATCCAGACTCAGCTCAGAGAAATATACTTTCAACACGGCAAGATGTTCTATGGCCAGAGGTGGAAGAAGCACTCTTGTACATAGAAATACCAGAGAGTAGGAGTACAAATCCTGCAATCAATATTGCAATGTTACTCAAGTAAAAGTACAAAAGTATTAGCATCAAATTATACTACTTAAACTACCACATTTCAAAGTACTCATTATGCAGATTGGTCCATTTCGGAATAATATATTATATGTTTGATTATAATTATTGATGCTTTAAAGTGTTATTCGAAGCTGGTAAAGGAGCAGCTAGTTTTAATAACTTGTTGATGCTGCAAAGTAGCTTGTGGATTTACTCCAGGTGCAACATAAGTCTTATAGTTAAGTGTTGATTATATTTCACCTCATTAATCCAAATCTGCAAAGTTAAAAAAAATATCACATACATGTACTGGAGAAAAAGTACATGATTGATATCTGAATTGTAATTGGGTAGATTGAACAACTCAAGTAAAGTACACGTCCCTCAAAATGTTACTTAAATAAATAATTTACTTTTACTCACTACATTTATTAAGTAACTTAGTTACTTTGCAGATTGTGTTAAATGAATCTACCCTGCAGTATACAAAATAATTCAATTTTGCTAGCTTTGATAAACACATAAATGCATCAATAATTATAATCAAAACATTGTAGCTATTCTGAAATGGGAAAATCTGCATAATAAGTACTTTTACTTTTGGTACTTAAAGTATATTTTGATGGGAGTAGTGTAGTACTTTCACTTGAGTAACAATATGATTGTATAACTTTTACTTGTAACAGAGTATTCCATACAATCTGAGTACTTTTCTCTGGTAGCTTTAATTATTTTAACAACACTGTGTGATATTATATGTTGTACTTTAGCTCAAAAGGAAACTTACAGTCAAAGTTATAACCTGACAGACGGATTAAGGCCCAGCATGAAACTGATTATCCTCAACATTACTTAACAACTCTGCGATTGTAGATCCTGTGTTTATGTTTATGGGAGTCAGGGGAAAGGACTGGCTAATCAGATTAGCAATGCCTTTGTTTACATACGTTAGCTACCGTGCATCGCTTTCTGCCTTCAATGTGTAACTTTTAGTGATAATTTAAGAACTGTGGCAAGATGGAGAACGTGTCCAGACAATATTGCACTGCATCCTGTTTGGTTAGATAACCTAATTTGTTCAAATATAAAGCTCGTTAACATTCGCTAACTAGCATTAGCTTAGCAAACACACCGTTCTGACGAGAGCTAGCGTTAGTTGCGTAGCCAGAGCTAACACAACTAGCTTCACTGTCTTGGGACTCACCTTTCCCCGTTGTATTCCTTCGTTCTGGTATTTGAACCGTTAGCTGGAGTCTGTATGGTCTATGTATGCCTTTTACAAACACATCAGTAGCTAGCTACATGGCTAACTGGCTACATGAATTTGACGTTTTCCTGTTTGCATTAGCTGCTCTGCTAGTCTGTTTTCTTCCTGTGAGGTTGTAGCACCTTGACGGCGCATTACTGCCTCCTTCTGGACTGGAGAGTGAGTCTGAATCAAACTTTAAAGCAGTTTTCTGACTTGATATTTTACATCTACTTACATAATCTTCTACACAAATCCATATCCAACTATTTATAACCAAGGTTGATGAGTCTTGTTTGCATTTTGGGCCAATGTCATGGTACTTAAATGCTATTAAATTACACATTTAAAAGCTGTATTCTTGTTAAAATATTTACACGTTCCCCCTGTTTGCTAAAAGAGTAGCATACACTTTATAATTATGATGAATTATTTAGGCATATTTGTGATTCACGATATTGGGCTACACATAGGCTACATAAAATTGACTTGATTACTAATGGCCCAAGATAAAACATTTGTAACTTTGAACCCCACTCTTACTTTATAAAGTGCTTTAAATGTAACCATATGTGTAAATACCAATACAAAATGTTAACAAAGAAATCAATTAATATGTTTATTAACATTTATTTTTCATTCCTTATCTTTATATGCAATGGGGAGTTGTAAAATCATATATTCTTTTGTTTAATATCAAGTCTTGGGCTTGTCCTACTTTCTCATAATCAAATAACCCCCACCAGGATCATAGAAAAATTGTAGCAAGACAGGAAATGTTTTAATGTAGGCTTTAGTTTAGGGTTATACTTTTTTCCTTTTCCCACCAGGAATCCCAAACTTTTCCCGTATAGTTTTATATTTTTGTCTGATGCCCCATCAGGTTTACCCAGAGTAGAGTTACAAAATCAGCATTTCTCTCTGAACTCTAGTGTTGTTACTCCTGAACCCACGCCCCACAGTTGTATTTAAACATCTACTAAGTGTAGAATACATATTTAAACAGATAAAGATTGTAGATTCCAGAGCTGACTTTATTTTTACTTTGAGGTGGATCTTTATTTTAGATCAGAGGTTTTGAAAGTCTTAGGCTAGAAAACTTGGCTAAACGTGCCCTTTCACCTAATTGGTTGGTTTCACTCAATTCCTAGTTTGGTTTAGGATCATGATTTTATAATTTAATCCCACAGACACAATTAGATCTCTCCTAAGGCATTTTTAGTTATTCTTACTTTGGGAAAAACTATAAAATTCCACAACGTTTCTGAACCATCTCTCTAATTCACAAACAGACTAGGCAACTTTTCATTTTTCACTTTCATTCACAGAGGCTCCGCTGTAACAATTTGCAGCCCTCCGGGGGAGGCCTGCCTTAACCTTTGAAAACCTCTTTTAAGTTGAACATCATTGTTTTTCACTCCATTGACAGTGGAGCTATATAGTCCAAATGTTTGACCCCCAGCTGCTGCACCACAGCTGTTACTACACACTCCACATGGTCAGAGGAACTTTGATACTCTGAGATAAACTGAGAGAGATAAAAGCAAATGCTGAACCAAGGGAGGGATTTTGAAAACAAGTGTGCATTACATTAACACAAAAGAAAAATGTATTATTGACCTAAAATGGACCTCCCAACAAATCAACAAACAAGCAAAGTCCAACCTGACATTTTTTAATGATATTTACAGTACCAGTTCTAAAATGTGTTAAATTAGAATAAATAGAGTTCAGTTACTGAAACGTATTACATTTACAAAATGGTGGCATAACACTCAAACTAGTAGGTTTATAAACAATGTAAGACAGATAAAGTAGCATTGTGCTGCACTCTTAAATTGTTGCATATGTTAAAGACAGTATAGACAATACCTGAGTGCAAAGAGGCCTCTTTTAGGGATTTTAAACAGCATCATATATTTCTACACAGGAATCATTTCAATAGCTGCCGTTTTTATAAAAACATTTTTTTAAAGGAACCCGTCACTAAAAGTGAACCATAATCACCTTATGAAGAACACTTTGATTAATACATCCTGTCAACTCAACATTCCTACAACAGCTGAAGAAACAGTGTTCATGTGTCTGTGTCTCTAGAAATACAACATACTGTGTCTCAGACTTACTTACAGAAACGCTCTTTGTATTAAATATTTGCACGACCAGGGCACATACGTTAAGAGTGCAGAACATCAGAGGTAAACTCAGATTTATGAAGGGGTTACATTAAAATCAGTGTCAAATACAGAAATGGTGCAAATTCAATGGCCTGGCTCACTTAAGGATAAAGTTTGCATTTTGGGTTTTGAAACATACTGAAGGTGATCACTGGATGACTCTTGGCCGAGGTGCAAATAAGAGCTTGATGGTGATATACTTCTAAAAAAACATCAGCCCACAGTATTACATTTGGAGTTATACCAGAGGAAATCCTCAGTGATGAGCTGTCACTGCTCATCATTCGTTCATCTGCCCTCCTTTACCAGCAGCCTCGACACACTAGGTAACAGATATGGAGGGCTTTGGCCTTTTCAGTGACAAAGGTCGAAGGTCCGCCCTTACTGCGTGCAACAGCCTCACGTTTCCTGCGATAACTCCACCTGCTATCACTCTCTACGGCGAGAGAGTAACATTCTCGTTCGTGCAACAGACCAGTTCAGGAGAGTGGGTCATCGTTCAATAAACTGGAGGCTAATGACACTTTCAGGAACCAGAAGCGTTCTGGTCTTGGGTTTCACAGAAATCCCTTCTGGGTCGGGCTTCACATCAAACTCTAAGAGGATCTAGTGTGAACAGAGAAAACAAATTAAACCGAAGGGAAAAAATCAAGTGCTCATCATGTGCAAAGTGTTGGGTCGTGACTCTTAACTAAAATCCCTAGATTAATTAATCAAATTCATTCATTAGGAACTGGATTTGCATTAGTCTCAAATCCCTTTCTTTGAGTTCCCTATATTTTCTAAGAAAAATGCAGCAATAGGATTTGAGGATTAATTGATTCATTAATATGTGTACATGCTGCATTTAACAGAAAGTATTACAGTGTTTGGGACAAATATATGTAAATGTTATATAAATGTTTTTTCTTTACATGTTTGGAACGGATTAAATGGATTTGCATTTACACACTTTTACATCACAGTAATTCACTCTCTCTGGTCGTCGTCGTCATCATAAACTACCTATCAAAGACTCAAAAACAAAAGGTGACAACTCACCCTCGAAAGAGCGAGGTAGAGCTCCAGTTCGGCGATGCGACGCCCTATGCAGCTGCGCTTTCCCACCCCAAAGGGTATGGAGGCATACGGGTGGAACGTCTGGTCCTTCTTCAACCAGCGATGGGGCTGAAATTCATCTGGATTCGGAAACACGGCGGGATCTCGTGATGTCGCGAAGTGGCAAAGGGTAATCAGAGTCTGGAAGAAAACATTGTACTGTCAGAGATTTACAACATTCACACTGTTTTTAAGAGAGAAGACATTTTTGGACATGGGAAAATGTACCTTTACTATCAGAGATAGAATAGTTTTTTAATAAGATTCACCCTTAAGCCAAACTCTGTGAAGTAAAACATTATTAGCTAGCTATCTTTTTGATATTTACAACTTAACTTGTATAAAAGTTATTACCAAGTTGAAATGGACTTAGAAGTAATCAGTTGCCTCGAAAACTATAAAGGAAACATTGCAATAAATTAAAAACCAAAACCTTTACATTTAGCACAGTAAAAATGGCTCCCTTAAAGTGTGAATAATAATAATAATAGCTTGGATTTATATAGCGCCTTTCATGAGACCCAAGGTCGCTTTCCAAGGAAGAACAAACATAACAAAACAAAAGGCAGTCAGACAACCAGTCAGACAGACAAAACAACAAATAGATTAGGGGCCAAAGGCCTTAGTGAACAGATGGGTCTTGAGGGCCCTTTGGAAGGCATCAAGCGTGGGGATGTTGTGGATCTCCGCAGGGAGGGCGTTCCAGAGGGTGGGGGCTGCCACACTGAAGACTCTGTCCCTGAAGGTTTGCAGTTTGGTGCGGGGGGTGGTAAGCAGGCCAGAGTCTGAAGACCGCAGGTTCCGGGGAGGGGCATGTGGGTGAAGGATAGGATAGGTACTGGGGGGCATGGGCATGGAGGGACTTGTAGGTAAGGAAGAGGATTTTGAATGATATGTGGGACTTGACCGGCAACCAGTGGAGGTGGATGAGGGTGGGAGTGATGTGCTGCCATGGCTTTGTATGTGTGAGTACCCTAGCAGCACAGTTTTGGACATACTGGAGCCTGTCCAGGGTTTTGTTGGGAACCCCAAACAGGACACCAATGCAGTAGTCCAAGCGGGAGGTGACAAACGCATGGACTAGGGTTTCGGAAACCGACTCCGAGAGTGACGGTCGGAGTCTGAACACCTGGCATTAGACAGATTTCCATCCAGACAGTTAACATAGAGTTTCAAGGATATTATAGTGTCTTTATTCCCTCAACTCACTCACATTTTTAGGGATGAGGTAGCCTCCAACCTCGATGTCTCTCTCTGTAGTGACTCTTGCATTGGCAGGAATGACCGGGTACAACCTGGAAAACAAAGTTCAATAATGTAAGCAAAATGAAAGTTGAGGGTCGAAAACGAGATGTTTTCAGGAAATGAAGTGAAATCTTTTGAATCCTACCTAAGCACTTCTTTGACGGTGGCCTTCAGGAGAGGCATGCGGGCCACGTCTGCTGCCTCCGGTATGCTTCGTCCCTGCAGCACGCTCAACACCTCGTCCCGGAGCATTGCCTGCACCTCAGGGTGACGGGACAGCTCGTACAGCGACCAGGACATGGTGCTGGAGATCTGAAAGAACGTGCAGGGTGTACAAAGGTTCATAAATCAGGAAGATATGACGGCAGAGTACAGCGGACAGACAGAGAGAGTGATTGTTCTTACTGTGTCGACTCCTGCAAGAAGCAGCTCTGTGACGTTGCTGTAGACAGTCTTCATCGGCATCCCGGCCCGCGACAGGAAGTAGGTCAGATAGCGGCCCTCCACCTCCTCTCCACGGGCAACCTTTTCTGCTTCAGCCGTCATACGCTGGTCAATGTGGCCTTTAGCTAGAGACACAGAGAATAAATGATTTCTGGTGAGATCTTCAGAGTGATATCATTATTACCAAATAAGTATCAAAAACCAGTATGGCCTTTCTGAAGATCTTAGTTGTGTTCATATTCTTACATTTCTGATAGTATTTTGAGTGTTTTGCCTTTAGGTTTACTCTTCACATTTCATATTTGTCAATGCACATGAATCGTGTAAACGCGAAATGTATAATCATTGGCTCATTATAAATATTTAAAACATAAACTCGACTCGATATTCTTAAAATTCCTTCAACCACATCATGACAGATGTTCAAGACTTCCTATCGCAGATGATCTTGTAGTGCGTGAGGGTTAAGGATTTTAATCTCCTGCTTCCTGATCCAGTTTGCACCACAGTGATCATTTTAAACATGTTCGATTCAGATCTGGATGAGTCATAACGTACTGTCAGAGTGAGTGGGTGGAATAATCTAATGCTGAGGGGAACCAGATTTAGCCGTAAAGAAATTAGGCCGGACAGACGGAAAGTAATCAAAGAGGGTGGAAAAACATAGTTTGTTTTGGTGTAATTGTGTAGGGGAAGTGCTAGCATTTGTCTCATGAATGTCCCTGATAATACATCTTTAAAAAAAATGTATTTTCTGTTTATGCTCGTTTTTAACATTTCTTCCAAATGTTCTCTCTTTAAATACAGTGTTATACATGCATCCATCACTATCAGAGTACATTTCCAAGTAGGCTGACATTTTGCTATTCTTTCTTATGTCACCACTAAACTCAATGATTAGTAGAAATGACCTACCAAAGTCGAACATGTAGTCCCAGCTCTGACAGAAGGTGTTCCAGGGTTTAGGAAACAGCCGGTGGAGCCACTTCGGCATGAACATGGTGAGAAGCGTTGTTACGAACATGGTGTTGATCGATTGGATGAAACGCTCCGTCTCTTCAGGGATAACCTCATCCAGGCAACCAATTCTTGATTCAAACAAAACCGAGGAAATGCCTGTCAAATAAAAAGAAGGTAAATGAGGAGGTGAGAAACACGCGGCACGAGGGCTGACAGAAATGTTAACAGATGATGAAACTATATCTACTATTTGGCCTTTTTTTTAAGGTAAAATTGTTTTTTCAACAACAGTTGGCCGAGCTTCCACTCAACACTACAATCAATTTGATGTGTCGGTAGAGTAAATGTTTGAGAGGGACGTGAATGTGACCATACAGTCACTGGATTGATCTGTTTAGTCTGGGAGAAATATGGGAGAGAAAAAGGAATAAATGTATCTTTTCTTCATGGAAGAATGAAGGCTGAGGAGCCACGAGGCAGGGAATGAGCAATGGCTTTAACAGGATTTATATGAGCTGGTAATAAGAAAAGTACATTTACTAATGTGCTGTACAATACTGAGGAGCTTCTATGTTACTTGAGTATTTCCATTTTATTAAATATGTTTATTCAACAAAATGTCAGTGGAAAATATTTATATCTTTTTACGGGACTAATTATCTGATAGCTGTAGGTATTACGTGTACTAACTTAGTTTGGATATTATACACAAACATATGATGAGTTTACAAAAGAAGATGCAGCATTATAGGTTAAGCTATTTAACTTCTAAATTATAACTAGTTTAAATAAGCTCTGTCTCCAATGTGTGATAACTTTGAATGCAGTTGTCTTAGTTGTAAGGTTACTATTTTGCCGAATTGCTACTTATGCGTAAATTATAATGATATGTATAATTGTTCCACTATTGGAAAGGTGAACTGAAGGTTACTCGTTAGTCGTTATTGATCCATGATTTGTTTTGAATGTCCTTGTCACTATCAGAAAACCTATCTTCCTGTATCTGACTGGCCCTAATTACCAATGTTTACACGGTGTGGTACACCCTGTAGTGACGCATGACGTTTCCACGCCTCAGACCACATTAAATCTTACCCTCGAGGCCGAATCGATAGAACTCGCTTGAGATGTCAACGACAAGGCCCTCAGAGCTTCTGCTCAGGCGAAGTTTGGCAATGAGGTCGCTGACCACGCCGTTCAGGGTTTCATCGTAGGCTTCCACGGCTTTGGGTCGCAGCATGTGCTTACCAAGGAGACTTCTCACCGACTGCCACTCCTCCCCCTCACTGGGAACAAACAGAAAGAGAAATGAAGAAACACTTGTGTTAGTTGAGCATCTCTGCGTGTTTGTGAGTATTTAACTGGTGCATTGAAAAAAAAGTACACTGAATGTGTCATTTCTTATTATTATATTGTTCAGTTCTGTTCATCTGTCCCCACTCTTGAGAGGGTATTCCCTTAACAACTATGGTTAAATATAGAATGTTGAATGAATGAGTTGTGAACAGTCTTATCTTTAAGTTGTGTCTTTGTTATCAGTTAATATATTACATCATTTCGTAATGCCATAGTTCCTACTACGAATTACAAATCATTGAAGTTTGCATTTATCTTGTGATTTGGGGATTTACAATAAGAGAGTAAGGGCTGTCTCAGAGTGCTACTCACGAAGTCAGGAGTCCGTAGTGATGTCCCCTGAGCTTCCTGTAGTCCTTCCAGGAGGAGAGGTCAGAGCGCATGGGGTGCTGGCCCTCCTGCCTCAGAACCTGCTCAATGAGCGCTGGATCAGCAACATGAACGGTCAGAATGGGGCCAAAGCTCGCCTTCCACATGGGACCATATCGCTGCAAGCCCTCCAGCTACAACATGAGGGAGAGGGGGATGACCTTGTGAAAACACTGCAAGCTATGAACTGATTGGCAGCATCTTTGATGATACCCGGCGGAGAACTAAAGATGTGTGCAGGCTTCTTTTATTCACTCATAATTAGATCATTCATGAGCTGCAACAATGAGCTGACTATGATTAATCGATCAAGAAAAAAGGAGCACCATTGAAGTAAATGTTCATGCAATGATTCCAGAAAGTGCTGTTTTTAGTGTCTCAAGTGTATACATGTTCTGCTTTTAACTGGGTTCTTCCTTATTAACCTGATTATCTTTGTGTTTTGTACGGACAAAACAAGACATTTGAATTCATCACCTTGGATTTTGTGAAACTAGAAGGGGCATTTCACAATTTTCACATTTGAGAGACCAAATGATTAATGGGTAATGAAAGTAATTGTTAGTTAGTTAGTTAGGACAAAAGAATATTGGCCTGTGTCTATTACAGGCCAATATTCTCCTGTCCTTGGCTTGGTGTTTGTTACTAAAGGTTGAAATAACTTACAAAATGTGTAAAAGACAGTTACACTGCAAAACAAATATTTAAGCCCGAGTGTGTTGCCTATAGGTTAACAAGGATGCATTCATTATGGCCTCTTAATATATTAAATAAATACATATTTTTAGAATTCAGTCCAGTGACTAAGACACAGCCTATACTAAATGTATTCATATTCAAAAGAATCCTACCAGCGTTAACAGCAAACCTGTTAGATATGACAAATATATTGTCTGCTTTAAAAACGATACACTCATATGGGGGTTGTGCCTGGGGGACCCCATTTATAAGCACCCATTCTGTCTATATTATTTGACACGCTATCAGTGGGGGTAGGGGCAACCTGACAGTCAGTTTGAAGGAGATGCAGCAGACACTGATTTCCTCGTTGTCCCCGTCTATTTTCGATTTACACAATATGCAAATTAGGTTTAACCTTCCTAAAATAACAATAGACAGATTACACAACTAACGAAGAAGGGTGCATCTTGGTGCGATCAGCTTTAAAGAGGCAGGTGTTGCAAATGTTCATATATTACCTGCAGATGGTGCAGCCGGGACAGCCCCCGTTTGGCGAACAAGTCCCAGGCGAAACTGACCACGGAGGGTCCGGGCATGTCCTGCAGGGTCTTGGCTGCATGCTGCTTGGCGGATGCGCTCTCAGCCCACCTCTCTATCCACTTGATCAGGGGGATGGCACTGCGGCCGGATACTCTCAAAGCTTGTTGCAGCATCCTTCTCACTATGATCATGAATCGGTGGCTGGACGCAGCTCTCGGAGCTCATTGCGGCATTATTTATAAGGCGCCAACTGCTCCTCGAACCCGCGGAAATCTTGGCCAATCACCGGTGTGAATTCAGCGCAAGCCCCGCCCCCGTCTGGATGAGACTGTGAAGACATGAGCTGAGGGGAGGTGTGTCCAATCAGAGGGCTCGAGCTCAGACCATCCCAGAGACAGCACACGTGGAGGTCCTGGATAAATAATACATGACTTCTCTGATACTCTTGAGGCTTATCTCCCCCCTGCAGCACTTTGCTCTCTGATAGTCCAGCAGACATGTTTCGAGTGAACATGTGGAATTTAGGTCTTGTGTGCTTAATAGACCCCTCGACCCTAAAGGCCAATGTTATTATAGATCCCATTGATTTAGGCGGGACAAAACCTCAAACAGAATCAGATAAATCAATCAAAAAAGGGGGTTGGATTACAATTTTGAGGTTTAATATTAGCTAAATACGAAATGGCCTGTTGACCTGACAGTTCACAGACAGTTCACCTGACAGTTGACAGTTCAATCTTATCTTGAAGAAAAAGGCGTATCAGGGACGTCTGTGTCTTTTTAAGACTTGGCATGGCTTTTTTTAGCCAGCTATGCAGGGCCGTTTCTTCCTATATGCGGACTATGCGGGGGCATAGGGCCCCCGCGGCCACTAGGGGGCCCCCAAGCTGAAAGTATATATATTTTTTCATCCGAAAAACAAACAAAGTTTAATTCATACACACAAAGATGAACAAAATTAGTAGAAGCGGGAGGGCTGAAGCATAGCTTGTGGAAAGTAGCTTTCCCGTGCATCATCCTAATACAGCGGCATTATTGCGTCAAAAATGTATAGAAATGAAGGAGTACAAAGAAATAAAGAAAACAGGAGAAAAAATTTAATAAAAGTTAGGGCAGGAAAACAATAAATGCATATATATATATATATATATATATATATATACGAAAACTAGATATAGGGTCATTTTCTGCACATGTCAATAGCAGTTTCAACTATCTTTTTTTGGAAATTAAAATACTATATATACATATATACATAGGTACACATGCACTTGGCAAATGAATAATAATAATAATGTGTTTATATGCATAATTGCATATAAACATTGTGAACACTTATTTTCAAGTGACTTTTTTTACATTCATATGTTCACGCTGTGGTTTGGAACTGCTTTTGAATGTTATTAGGCATTTTGTTATGGAAAATGTTGTGCATAATCAGTACTGTTTTAAGCTGTACTATCTCAACACATTTTAATAGATTGAGTTTTTTTAAATATGGGAGTTGTGTGTTCATATTTACCAACACCACAGACTATTCGTAATACTTTTTTTTGGGATGTTATTATTTTTTGTAGATTTGTTGAGTACGTGTTTCCCCATATTTCGGAGCAGTATTAAAGGTAAGGGAGAAATAGATTGTTATAAAGAGTATATTTTCTTCAAGAATGTTCTTAGTATGATACAAAATACCTATTGTTTTTGACAGTTTAGTCTGTACATAATTTATATGGTGCTTCCAATTGAGTTTTTCGTGAACAAGCAGTCCTAAAAATGTACATGCACCAACTTTTTCTATCTCTGTATTGCAAATCCGTATAATGCAGTCATTTATACTCTCAGACTTTGTATTGAATAACATGTAATTTGTTTTGACCACATTAAGGGATAATTTATTAACTGCAAACCAGTTACATAGTATTTTTAATTCTGCATTCACAATTTTAACAAGATCGCCAAGATTATGATGGGAGCAGAGAATTCAAAGTTCAGGTTCAGCCTCAATATATTTGGGGAAAATTAAAATGAGCCGTCTTTATTTGTAGACAGCCAGCCCCCTCCTGTGAGTGTTCCGTGAAGCATTATATGCTTACAAATCCAATGTAGGATATAAACACGACTAAACTGCAATGATAGCAAAGCTGTGGCTTGGGTTTTTGGGGTAATAAAGTCCAAATCATCGTTGGGCTGACAGCTGAGAAAATGCTGCATCTCTTGCATTTATTGACATAGAGGAGCCTTATTGTTTACCTTTTTAATATCATTTTTTGTAATTTTCAATTGCTTGGTTTTCGTGAAATTAGCCTGTTTTCCTATTAAAGTGTAACAGATTGATGCATCTCCACAGATCATCTTAAAGGCTTCGGAATCCCCCCCATTGTAGTTAAAAAAAGTGTCAAAACTAGGGCCCCCAAACAGCATCTTGCATAGGGCCCCCAAAAAGCTAGAAACGGCCCTGCAGCTATGACACATGTTTTAGCTGACTTGGTGGGTTTCCTAGTGAGGGATCAATTCTTGACCTGATTTAAATTTGACCTGGAATCTGTCCAAGGCACCATGTGTGCGAACTGTGAAGTAACATCCCAGGGACTGTACTCAGAATCTGCTTTGACATTTTCTCCTGTATGTTGTATGCTCTAACTGGAATATTAGATCATCCAGTTTCACAGAAACATTGACGTTTGATTGCCAATCCCAGCTTGATGAGAGAGTTAGACTAAATGTACCCTTGACCGACTTTTCCGTTATGGTTCGTTTAAACTTGTTCAGCGTTTGCAGGATATGCGTGTTGAAATGCATCATCTTGTTACCAAGTGGATCCTAATTATCATAATCTTAGCTACCTACCACCCCAACGCCAGGCCATAAATATGTTAAATCATAAGGTATGAACAGTCTATGGTATGAACCATAGGTATGAACCCAACATAGTAAAAAATACTATACAACAACAAATGGTGCATATTTAAATTACTGCAGCTTGAGAGACAAACACATATGGGTTGGTTCCTAAAACTGAGCCCATCAGCTAACTAAATTATAGTGTTTGTTCCTATGTGCAGAACCACAGTGGACATATTATCCATGCAGAAGTATCCTGTAGTTTTACTAAAGGACAGATCATGTCAGCCTGATGTCGGGGTATAAAGGATCAAATCTTACACCACATTATATTTTCACATCAGCTGTAGGCTTTATGGAATACAATGCAGAGTATTTAGACATTTAGTGTTTTAACCTTCTGGGCCAGTCTAATGTGTTGGCATTTTGCAAAGGTCAAGTAAAGAATGCATGATTTTATTTAGCTGGGGGCTGGAGGAGGATTTATGAGTATGACATGCTACAGCTTACTGTATGTGAGGAAATCTAATCGTCTAACCCAGGGGTGTCAAACTCAATTTCATCGCGGGCCACATCAGCATTATGGTTGCACTCAAAGGGCCGATTGTAACTATATAAATATATATATATATAAATATATTATATATATAAAATAATGTGTTATATTACATTATTGCCTCTGAATTGGATTATTATCGGATAGGATAATGACTTAGTAATTAACTACGTCTGAAAGCAAATAATTGCAAGTCTCTTCAGTGCGCATGTCACAAAACGAGATGCATTGTGGGACATGTAGTTTATGGGCAACCTCATTCTGTAAAGCGGCATTTAATCGTATAATAAACGTATTACATTCTTTGCAAGCTCTTGCGGGGCCACATCAAATGAAGTCGCGGGCCGGATGTGGCCCCCGGGCCTTGAGTTTGACACCCCTGGTCTAACTGATAGTAAACATGTCACGAAGCAACTTTGGTAAGATACATTGAAATTATGGAAAAACTGAGGAACACAGTGAAATGCTTCTGGGCTGGTTTTGAAGGGATTTACGTAGAAACATTGTGATGTGGAGTAACATTTTAAGAAACATCCATGATAGTGATTTATCAGATGTCTTTTGCATGAATTCTTATCGAGCATAGAAAATACAAGAAATAATTTATTTAAAGACATAGAGGTCAAGCTACTGCGAAGAAATTGAATAAAAGCACGAGTTGGATCAATTGCAGCAGTAGAACAGTGAGAAATACAAGTAAGATAAGGTTGCACAATGATGAACAGCCAATACGACAACAGCCTTATTGGATAAAGACCCCCGGGAAAAAGAGTAACGTCAGGAGACCTCTTTTAAGCATTGTGGCAATCCCCACATGACGTGACCTGTGAATCAGGAGACACAAAACAAACCGTGATGCTGAATGGTGAAGTTAAAAGTGCAACCAAAGACCTATCAGAAAACCTCTTTACATAAGACTTCCTCTGTGTGTTAATGTGTGGTTATCTTGAAGGATGCAAGAAATGTACATGAACACATAACCACCTTTTAAACAAGGTCACAGTGTTTTGATGAGTCGGGGGCTTACACAACGCACTGCAAACAAATCAAACAAAGATACGTTGTTTTCTTTACATCTGGCTGTTCTACTGCACTCATATAACACATACTTCCCTCATTGTGTTCTTCGTGGAAAGATGTAAATCTGCACATGTTGCACCGGCATGGGGGCTCAGAGGCTCATCTTCAGTCTCATGTTCAGCAGGCTCTAAAAAAAACAGACATTATTTAGTAAATCTGGTCATGCCTGAGTAACAGGGATTAATATTGATTATAATAAGAAATCCTGTCAAAGAATGGCTTCTTTGTGCTGTCGTAAGGTGCAAACTGATGTGGCCCAGTCGTAGATCATGATATGGAGCACAGCGGGGATCGCCTGAGAGGTATTGGCCCAGTGCCCAGAGTGAGGCTGCTATATTGCAACATTAGTGTGTTAAAGTTCATGTCTGCCTGTCTGGGTAGTATCGGAAAAATGATGTACTCAAACATGCACACAGACACACAGATGTGTGTATGAATGCAGATGAATGAGTATGTGTCTCGTGGTTGTGTTAATAGCTTTCACTCACTCAGCAGGCTGGTGAGGATAGTGTTTACGGTTGCTCCAAGCCCCCCTGCACTCTTTACTGTATATAGTTTATGAAAGGCCATGTTTGTTGCCTGATTATTACCCATATATGCATTAAGTCAGTGGTTTCCAAACGTTTACCCTAAATCGCCTTTAATTGTTCCAAAAATGTTGCTGCCAAGCTTTTGTCTAAGTCCTTTTAAGTGTCTCATGTGACTCCCATTTTCATTTTATTACCCTGTCTTACTATCAATTAAGAATCCAGTTC